TCCCAGGTGTGGACTGCCTGGAGCAGGGGCAGGTGTCAGGACATCCCGTGGGTAGGAACCGCCTGTGAGAAGCACAGTGCTGCAGTTCAGGGTCCTGATCTTGGCTCAGGGTTACTCCTGGTGTACTGGGGTAGGGGGTGAAAGTAAGCTATGGAAGAAATCTCACGAGAGACTGGAGAGATATCTCAATGGTACGAGCATTTGCTGCTCTTGAGGAGGACCTGAGTTCAGATCCCAGTATCCATGTCAGGATACTGCCGGTCAATCTAGCTCCAGGCGGATGTCTGACTCCATCTTATCTCTGTGAGTGTTAGCACTCACGTGTCCAGAGATAAAATCAAAATAATTATTTAGAACAAGATATAGATTAGCCTGACTAGGGATAGAAGGTGAGTTTTTTTTACTTGTGCTGGAAGATGTAAACAGACATCTATCTGTGATAGGGCATCAATAACGGACCAAAGAAATAATTCTGCACAAGTCATAGTAAGCTGATGAATTTGTTGGGATTGCTTAGAGGTGTATGGGTGGGGGATTACTTACAAAAACATGAATAACTAAAAGGCATCTGCGTCACCAACAGGTCCATCCCAGCATGGGTATTGTATGACCCAGCATTGTATGACCTGGAGGGGGCCTTCCTTCCTTCTTACCCATGTCCTCATGGGTTTCCCTTATCGAAGGCGTGGTTCAGTTGGTTCAGTTTGGAAGATGGAGCCACATTGTACTCCATCCCTTTCCTAGACTCTTCCATTCTTTCTGACTCCTTTGTTGTTGTTGTTGTTTGTTTGTTTGTTTGATGTTCTCTGAGCCTCAGAGGGATGGTAAAGATGTCCGATTATTTTCTTCTATCCATGGCTGAGTGTGGCAGAGAAACAGTCATTTAGTTTCAGGAGCTAATGGATTATGCTCTGTAGCACACCCCTCCCTGGAAAAAAAAATAAGTTTTCCTCTATGACTGATCAAATTGACTGACCAAAGCTAACAGCAGCAGTAATTGATGGGTGTAAATACAGATATTCAGAAGGCAGTTTGATAGGCACATCACAGCCAGTGAAGAAAGCAACACCAGTTGCCTCCACTCAGGGACCGCAGGCTTCCCTTCCTTGCGGTACCGTATGTGAATTCCCTCTCATGGAGCAGGCTTTGAATCTAATAGGAAATCAGATGGTTTCCCCATGACAGCTGTGTCACTGTTGTTCTATCAAGCACAACTTGTGTGCCATGTTAGTGTGGCATGTTACTGTTGTAGCCACTCCTACTGATGATGACCGTTGGTGACACGTCCCCAGTGTCCAAGCAGCACCTACTGGCACTAGCCGGCAAAGAGGGAATTTCCACTTCAGTGCTAACCTTATTTTCCATGTCCTGTGTCCAGTGTACCAAGGCTTCAGCAGCAGGTTCTTACCTTTTAGACCTGTTATGCAGCGGTGACAACAGCCTTTCTGGTTTGTAAGGCTTTGTAGAGAAGTAGCCCAGCCCTGGCTCTGGGACTTTTAGTCTACACTGTATGCTTCTATGAGCATCTTCCCGTCCATGTAGGTGTTTTCACTTGAACTCCATCGCTGTTCTTCCAGATGTTTTAACAAAGCTGTAAGAGTCTCCTCAGGGGTCAGCACTATGTGATGTCACTTTTTTTTTTTTAAGCAGAAGGTGGGTGGGTTCTCTGAAGGTCAGCCCTCATCCATTCTAGGTATCAAGTGGTCTTGGTCAGCTAGGGCTTTACTAAAAGAGAAACATTATAAAAGGTCAGTATAGTAGGAAAAGATCACATCCATTGCTTCATCCAAGAGTGGTGTCAGGCACAGTCGGGAAGTACTACTTTGTGGAAGGGAGGCCTTCCATAATTCACAGACATTTTTCATGAACCATCTGGTCTCCTCATCCTGAGGTGCCATCGCTGCTGCAGGACTCGTGGACATCACCCCACTTTGGATGGCCTCAGCAGGGTGGAACCTGAGTTGCATATGTCAGCACCCACTGCAGGATCCATACAACCCCTGCATCCCACGTGTCTCTCACTCTACTGGCCCCTGTGCAGTCACCACTCTTGTTCCGTGACTGTTACTAGTGAGATGAAATGTCTGTTTATCCCAGATATGGCACGGTTGACAGATTGAAACACATTTCTACTCAACACTCGATTAGAGAACCAGTGAGATGGTGGAGGTTACTTTCAGGAACACGGGTGACACAAATGCGGGCATATTACTGGAAGCCTTCTTTGGCAAGGGTGAGGACTCAAAAGGCCGTATTCTCAGAACTTACACACAGCCTGGAGGTTGCTCTGCTGGGCTCCACTCCCCAGTGGTTGTTACTGTTTAGGTAACTTGGGAATCCGACAGCACCTTGGAAATTTTGTGGACTTCTTGAATTTTAAGGAACCTCCCTCCAAGAGCGGGTGTTTCAAATTGCAGTAAGTGGCTACATTAGGAGGGTTATGACAAGACACTTGCGTGGACAGTCAAGAGGGGAGGAGCCAGCTAGTGCTGTCCCATCTGGAAGGGTTCCAAGATGCTTGAGAGCCTCGCATACCTGGGGGCATAAAAACGGAGACTGAACCAATACCAAGTGAGCCACAGTGCCCATAGTAGAAGTGGTGACATATATATCTTCTGAACACTGAAAGCTGGCTCATATGGTCCCTTGGCCACTGGAACCAGTTCCTGCCATCTAGACCCTCTCAGAACTGAGCTGCTCAGAGCCCAGCAGCTCAGCCTTGGGACCTCTGATGTCCTCCAATGTCCTCTCAGAGATCCCTCCTCTGATGAGCAAAGGTCTTTGATTCTTGTGTGACTTGCCACACACATGCTGTGTCTGACCACAACCTGGTTACTGAAGCACTATGCATACTTGCATCTGCCGCCATCAGCACACTCACTTCCCATGTGCATCTGTTGGGTGCACACCTCATGGCGTGCAAGAGCATCCTACACAGTCATTTACTTGGTTGTCGTGATGAGTCTTTTTCTGGGACAGAAGAGGGGTGGCAGCATGGAAGAGCAGGCCCAGGACTGACTGGGATTGGATGTGTATCAACGCCTTGGGGAGGCGAGAAGGCTGGTCCTGGAAGACCCTGGAGCCAGAGTCCAACCAACCTGCTTCCTAACCCCCGTCCTGCTTCCTGTTAACCTTGTGGCTCTGCAGCCAGAGTGGCCTGACAGAACTCTGTGGGTGTGGCTGCCCTCTTGCTTTGTCCTGCATCAGGCTGGGAGCCCTGCTTTGCACAATTGCAGCCTGCCTGTGGCTGCCAGTTACACCCAGGCCCAAAGCTGGTCATGTTGAGTGCTGTGAGCAGAGGGACCAGGAATGTAGCATCTCAAAGGTGTTGTGCCTGCTGCTCTTGAGAGCAGTGAAGTGGGATCCATTAGGGAGGGTGAAGGTGCTAGAGCAGGTGGGAAACACATTACTCATCTGTGTACACCGAGCTCTGGGCTGCGGAGTCCCTTGCCATTAGGGGAAACCTTTACATACACACATGTACACACACACACATTTACAAACACATACATGCCTACACACATATGTGCATGCATATGTGTGTATCCATGCACACAGAGCACACATGCACACATATGTATGCATATATGTACAAACCTATGTATGTATATAAATAAGCATATATGTGCCTTGTGAAAGATATATATACATGTATGTGCCTATACACAACACATGATAAATGCATCTTCTATACACACAGACTCTGATGGTACCTTATCTCATGTGCACCTCGGCTGAAAGAGATTGTCATGCACTGTTGCCTTCCTGTGTGTGAACTTGCAGCAAACCAGGACTTAGGAGATAGTGTCCCAGGCTACACCCCTGGGCAGTTTCCCCCACAAGGTTATAGAGAAGTCTACTGAGATGTGAGGGTGTAGGTTGTCTACAAGCTGCCTATGGCCCAGCTGCTGAGCCTTTGCGGGGAGGGCATCTGAGAGAGCCCATCTGAGGGTACTGTAGAGAAGAGCCCTCTTTCTGGATAGAGCCAGA